GACTAGAAAAGAGGCTATAGGAGACAGACAGGTACATAAAAACTGAAACCATCTCCTCAGTTTTGGTGACAGTGCCTTTCTTTCTAATACCTGTTCTTTTTGGCATGCTCAGAATCTAGCATTTATAAATACAGGTAAAATATGGTAGAGTCAGAGGAAAGGAGGATAAAGGCAAAATATTAAGCTTCAGGGGTTTTATATTTAGTTATAATTATTGATCTTTCTGATTGTCATTTGTAATAGGAGAGCATGTGAACAGATGAGAGCAGGACAGTCCTGTGTGGACAGAGGTGGGCGGTTCTAAGGTGAGGAGAATCTTGTATGGACAGAAGCAGATGGTTCTAAGGTGAGTAGAGTCCTGTGTGGACAGAGTCGGGTCGGATGGTTCTAAGGTAAGTAGAGTCCTGTGTGGACAGAAGCAGATGGTTCTTAGGAAAGGAGAGTCTTGGGTGTTCAGAGATGGATGGTTCTAAGGAAACATGAGTATAGACTGGAGAAGGTAGGGTGTTGACACACTTCATTTATATCACATTTAGTCTTAGACAACCTGAAACTGTCCAGCAGTGAAGTAGTTGAACCTTAACAGTCCTGATTGAATATATTCAGCTTGAAATACCAGGTAATGCCATGGTTGGTCAGTGAATTTTGCTTTACTTACACTAATTATGTTATGATTAGAAAAAGCATATTTTCAGTTTTCCATATAACAAAATATTAACAGCATCCTGTTGGGCAAATTTTCCCATTTTTCTTTTTCCATTGTGTGTGTGTGTGTGTGTGTGTGTGTGTGTGTGTGTGTGTGTGTGTGTTTGGTGCATATGTGTGTATGGGTGTGTGTGTATGTAGAGGCCCAAGGTTGATGTCAGGAGTCATCTGGATCTCTCTTCCACCTTATTTGATGAGGCAGGGTCTCTTATTAAACCACATCTCACAGATTGGCCAGTCTCACCAGTCAGCTTGTCTGAGGATCTGGCTTTTGCATTCTGAGCCTGGCATTGTAGGTAGCAGCCATAGTCACACAGCATTTATGAAGGTTCTGTATATCTGAACTCCAGTCCTTATGGCCATGTGGAAAGTGCTTTAACCACTTAGCCATTGCCCCAAATTCCCTATTTAACTACTTTATTTTACAAAGCAAAGCAGAATAGATGTTACTGTTTCCTGTTTCAATTTTCAAAACTTAAGTCAATTTAGTTTAAAACTATGCCCATGGTGTTGCTGGGTACAAGAAATTGATCTGTTTCCATAAACTTTATACCTCTGAAGATATTCCATTTTTATTTTTCCTGTGATAATTTGTTATTTATTCCTGAATGAAACAAACAAAGACTCGTGCTCTGATGTGTCTGAGTGTCAAACATATCCTGTCATTCAGACCAGCCTTGACCATCAGCAAGACACCAACTCTTCCGGGTAAGCTTGCTAGTCTCTACCATATTCCCTTGAAAACCTGAGATTCTTTCTCTTTGGGGGGATGGAAGTCTCACTATGTCGTCTTGGGCTCCATCTGTCCTTCCAAGTAGGTGGGACTCCTCTGGGCCTATATCATTGCTTGGTTTGGTTTTAATCTTTCAAATTTTTCAGCAGTACTTGGGTCACTGGATCTCTCAGCATCCTGAAGCTCTTCTCTAGGCTGTCAAACTTCTCAGTGTCTCATTCTTAGTGTTTTTGGCCAGACCTTTTTCCTTTCTTGAACTCCAGTTGTGGAGTACCGTGGGCCTAGTTCCCATGTATCCTCTTTGTCAGTATACAATGATCTTAACCAATATATGATTAAAGGACCCTTTATATTCTGGTGATTCCTCAGAGTGATAGATAGCTCTGTCCTTAATCTTTGTCTTCATAAAAAACAACCTTGACAACTTTATTTAGAAATAAAGAAGGCTGGGACTGGAGATGAAGCTCCGTTGCTTAAGTAATTGTCTAGTGCACACAAAAGGCTGGTTTATTTCCCAGAAGCGCACAGACAGGGCATGATGGTGCACACCGGTAACCTTAGCCCTCAGAAGGTGGAGGGAAGAGGATCGGAGTTCAGTGTCATCCTCAGCTACATTGTGAGTTGAAGCCAGGTGGGGATTCATGAGTCTTATCTCAAACAACAACAACAAACAGCAACAAAAGAAATTTTCAAAAGGCTTATAAAGCTGAACACACCCAAAACTAACTCTTTGACTTTCATACAAAATCTATTCTTCTTTCTGACTTTTTCATCTTTATGAATGACAATGCTGGTCATCCAGTTCCTTGGATCAGGAACCCTTGGATTAACTTTTTATTTTCATAGTCCACATCCAATTTATCAAGTTTTGTCAGGCTCCCATTCAAAGTGTACCTTAAGGTTCTGCTTCTCATCAAGTCGAGAACACACGAGCATTGCCTCCTGAGTTGCATCGACTGCCTCTCCACACTTCAGGAGGTCTTCCCTTAAGTTTGTCATCTACATTCTAAACCGAGAGGCTTAAAAAATTCTTTTTATTTATTTCTTTTTATTTTATGTGTATGAGTGTATTGCCTGCATGTAAGTGCACCTATGTCATGCAGTGCCCGTGGAGATGAGAAGAGGGTGTTGGATCCCCTAGAACTGGAGCTACGGATGGTTGTTAGCCACCATGTAGGTGCTGGGATTTGAACCTAGATCCTCTGCAAATGCAGCTAGTACTTTTAACACTGAGCCATCTCGCAAGTCCCCATTGAGAGGCTTTTAATTCACAGCAGATCCTGCCATGACTCTGTACTGAAAATGCTTTTCAGTCTATCCACGTTCTTAGGTTAAAACCCAAACTTGTTCTTGGTCATCTACTTTTTGTCCTGGTGATCTTTCTAGCATCCAGCTACACCTTGCTGTTGATCACTGTTTCTACCTCTCCTTCCTTGGTCATGTTCAAATGCTCTACCTCAGAAAGTCAGGCCCCTCAGACCTCTGCGAGGTATCTTGCTTTCACCCTCCACCAGGTTCTAGTTTGCTCTATTTATTTTGAGACAGGGTCTCATGTATCCAAGGCTGGTCCTAAACTCACTATGTTGCTTAGGAGGACTTCAAGCTCCCAGTCCTCCTGCCTTCTATGTACTGAGTGCTGGGATTGCAAGCATGCACTACCACATCTGGCCCCGTTTTCTTTCCTGTAACCATTTGTCTTCATCTAAAATCATATCACAAGCTTACTTTCTGGCTTTTATGTATTGCTTGCCTTCCTTGCTACAACATAAACTTCATGAGAATGGGGATTTTGTCTCGTTCAATTCTTTCTGTCCAGCGTTTAGTTCCATGTTTGGTACTTAGCACGTGTGCATACATATTTGTTCAATAAACGAAGAGGAATAAGTTGTACTAAGGAGAGGGAGAATTTAGCATTATTCTAAGCCTTCTATTATAATAGAGATACCAGTATAGTCAATTTCTGTGGTTACATGAATATTACATTATTAGAGCAGGAAAAAATTTGGGGTAAGTGTCTGGTTTAGGGAGCCACCATTTGGGGTGGATGAGGCTAGGTCTCTACGTGAGCACTGTGAAAGTGAACCCCCAGGAGATGTGCTGCAACATGAATTCAGAGATCCAAGGTGAATACACCGCATGTAGTTATGCTTCCTTGGGCTCCTAAAAGCAGAGCCTGAGATAGAGATTTGCTACACATAGCTTATCGTGCTAGTATTTCAATGTGAAATCTGTAAGGAAGGAAAGATAAATGTGGGAGCCGAGCAAGAGGGTAGTGACAGGTAGAGCAGCCTTTGCTGGCACAGGCAGCAATGGCTCTGGTTCACAAACACATCATAATTTTGTTTCTTCTTGAGTCAAGAGACCAATGTCATTCAGTCATCAACCTTGAGCTCCCTGACTGGGGAAGGTTATGTGTTCTCAGTGGAGAGCAGCTCTACAGAGGGAAGTGACGAGCACTAGTAGCCACATCTGTTGCTTTAGACCAGAAAAAGGTATCTGAGCAATCCACCATAATAGCTTTTACAGTCTTATAGAAAGGGGCTGACTGTGAAGGCCCCCCATTCATCCATTCAACAAACACTTGTTTGTCAATTACTACCAGTTGCTTAGATTTGGGGTAGGCATGATCTCTGCCTACCTATCTCTGCCTGTCCCTATCTTTTGTAGGGACAAAAGATATTAATTGAATAAATATACAGCCACATATACCACGGAATTAGCGCTCTAAATAGTGAACTGAGGCAGGCTGTGAGTCACTGATACCGTGCAAGTGAACAGTGCTTTCTGATAGATGGTTCTTGCTGTAACTTGCAGGTTACCAAATTCTCTATTATAGTAATTATTAAATGCTAGTGGAAAATTAACTAAAAGCTATTTCAAATAAAGCATTTGAAAACTCATGATTACAGCCTTGGAACCATATTAATGTACAAGTCTTATACAAAACTTATACAAAACAAAGCAAACAAAACACAGAAACCACAGCTCATTTTCTTTTCACAGGAACTGTAGCTGATGAAAGAACATATTTTTAATGCAAGTGGGGTGACGGCTCAAATGCCAGTTCTTTTCTGAATTGGTCAAGGAAGACAAGGTCAAAGTTTTTGTAAAAACAAACAACCAAACAACAACCAAAAAACAAACAACTCCCCCAAAAAAACCCAAAACCCCACAGTATCCTATTATTGTGGTAGACTCATGCTCACAGACCTCCCACAATCCTTTAGTCCATGTGGAGGCTACGGCTTAACTGAAGTCCTTGAAACGTCATCATGAGTGCAAGACTGCCATTACTCTGTTAAAATAGCAAAAGTAAGTACTGATTTTATCTATAGCTCCATCATCATTTCTTTTTCCATCTTTGCATTGTGTTTTGGAAGCACCCTTACAGCACATGAGCTAATGAGCAATGTAACACTTGTCAGTAAAATGGTATTTTTTTCTTTAACATAGGGCAAAGTTTCAAAGGACTGTTCTGTCAAAGTGTCACCAAAACCATCTCTTTACGAGGATAGAGTACCAGAAGAAGGAACAAGGCTTTTTGCAATACTTCTGTTCCTACCTCAAAGCCCTGTGGTCTTCCTAGACTCTCTTTAGTATGTTTCCATGCAACAAGAATTTCTGACACAGACACACTTGTAGCCTTGACATCAGTGGGAGCAGCACTGGGTTCTGTAGGGAGAAAAAGAGAAGGGATAAGCCATCATCATCTCGAGGTATGTCTAGCAAAGCTCTGCACCAAGCTGATCTGCTGTTTGTTTCTTTCTCTCTTATTTTCAGAATGAGTTGTCTCACAGTTATGAACAACACAAGATAAAAAATGATTATATGTTCATGTTTCTGTGTTTGGGTCAAGTCCAGTCAGTATCTCACAACCAATCACAAATCTGGCAAGCTAAGGAGAGGGTCTTATCCTTTAATCAGAGAGGACATTTCTGGAGAAGCTGAATGGCCTGAATGAAGTTGTCTGCCCATCTGACAGTGGAGATTGGACCAGGCTTGTTTTTTAAATCGCTACTGGGGTTAATTTACAGAAACAACCTCACTGTCCAAACACAGAGCAGTGGAGAGGGTGGTATATATTCATAACGAAAAGTTTTCAGCCGTAAGGAAGGGTGAAGTTCTGTAGTGGGCAGGGCAGTGGATGCAGCTGGAGGGACGTGCACTAAGCTACCTACGTGCATTGCAGGTGCTCTTGCATTTGGAGGTCCTGGGCTTCATAGACACATAAATCACACTGATATTCTTGACACAGAAGAAGGGAAACTCTTTGGTGAATAAAGGAGACTCATGGGAATGGGGAGGGTAGGGGAAAGGCAGGATATGGGAGATATGCTCAAATGTAAAAGGGTAGGGAAATGGCCTCATGTAACCCTGGATAATAAAAATAATTGGTGATGTGAATGTTTATCCTTAAAAACTCAGTTACTGCTATTGCGCAATGTGTATATGTACCTCACACATAACATGGTAGCCTGTTAGTAGGTATAATTTGTGCATTTTTATGTCTGAGCTAAAATTTAAAAACATTATTATCTTTATTTCATGTGTATGAGTGTTTTGCCTTTATGTAAGTACAACATGTGCATGAAATACCCTCAGAGGCCAGAAGGTAGCCTCTGACCCCTGGAACTGAAGTTAGAGATGGTTGTTAGACACATTTGGGTGTTGGGACCAGACTTAGGTCATTTGCAAGAGCAGATAGTGCTCTTAACCTCAGAATCATCTCTCTAGCCCCCTGCGCTAAACGTTTACTAAGCAAAAATTACTGGTATTTATTCACCTTTGGTAAATTGTCTGACCCCTTCCAACCTCTGGTTCCCTCATTTGCAATAGGGGAGTAATGAGAGTATTCATGGAAGTCAGTCAGGTGGTGGAAAACTAACTCCAGTACTCAAGGATGGTGAGACAAGAGGATCACAAGTTCAAAGCCAGCTTGGATTACATAGTGAGTCCAGACCAGCCAGGGCTTCAGAGCAAGAAATCCTGCCGCAAAGTATGAAATCATCAAACAGGAGAGTATGCTATCATATACTTTTATGATTAGTCTTAATTGGAATAGTACATCTAAACTACTTAGTGTTATAAATGGACCCTACAAGGTTGATTCACAGAGTATCACATTAATATTATATTTGCTTTGTGAAGACAGAGGGGTCTAAATTTCATTAGACATTTTTTTATGTTTCAAACAGAAGCTACTTTTTCATGATAATAGAAAGAATGTGTTATGAATGATATTTCACAGACATTCATTGACTTTTAAGATGGTACAGGTAGAGGAAGAGTCCCTGAAGGTCTTGGTACCGTTGTTCTAAAACACCTTTCTGTTTGCTTCTATGCTTGGTGACCTTTCACACTATTATTTCCTAATACACCATGTCTGGCTGGCATTCATCAAGAGGTGCATTTTCTTTGACATGGCATGCTATGTGAGCACGAAAATATTTCTAGCTTTGACATGGCTGAGTCACGAATGCAGTCACAAACACATGTTAACTGAAACGGCAGAATAAAGACCACAGATTGGGTCAAGCAGTTCTGTAAAGATTGTGTGTTTTAATCCTGCCCATTAAAACCTGGACAGACTTTCACACTAACTCCATATCACTGGTACAAGTTCTGATTAGTTTGCTGGCTTTTTTTTTTCAGATTCAGGAAACCATGTTGCAAAGACACAATTCTAAAGATTGTATTCTAAGGTTTGTTTAAAATGCATTATGATGGGTTTGGGAAGAATTGTAACTATTTTATGAAGTCTTTACTAGAAGAAGGTAGTCATAACTGAATGTTTTTATAAATTATTGATTAGAAAATATCCGTCAAGGGCCTGGAGTGGCAGTTCAGGCATGGAATCCTAGCTCTGAGGAGGTGGAGGTAAGGCCATCCTTGGACGTACAGTGAGCTTGAGGCTAGCCTGAGGTACATGAGACTGTTTCAAACACAACAAAATAATCAGTCAAAAAATCTATCAAGGGACTGGAAAGATGGCTCAGCAGTTAAGAGCACCGCCTGCTTTTGCAAGAGACCCAGCTTTGGTTCCCAGCACCCACATAGTGGCTAACAACCATCATAACTCCAGTTCCAGGGAATCTTATGCCCTCTGTTGACCTCCATAGTCTGAACAAATAACATGGGTGCACTTATATGCAAGCACTACACTCACACACACACACACACACACACACACACACACACATTTTTCAATTGCTATGAAATGAGTCTGTAAAAGACATTTATAAATATATGTATCGCACTAAGTAATTGTTTCTTTTTATTAAAGCCCTCATTAAAATTCATGGTAGGGCTGGAGCGAGCTCACCTGTGCTGTTCTTGCAGAGGAACCACATGGAGCCAGTCACAACGACCTATAATTCCAGCTCTGAGGAATCTTATACCCTCTCTGGTTCCCTCAAGAACTGTACTCAGGCCAGGCACATGAGCCCATGCATAGACACACGTGCATACACATAATTAAAAACAAAAATGAATCTTCAAAAACTCATGCTGTGATTACACCACTTAAAAGTCTGCGGTAAATCCATCTCAGTCTTTACGTGGAAGCCGACACCAGTTCCTGCCGTAGATCAATTCTTGTTTGACAGCCTTTAAATAACTTTTATTATTCTTTTGGCTCAGTTGTTCCCCTCATCCTACTTTACAGCTTATTTTTCCACCTACCCAATATCCTTAAAAAGAGAAAACCTTCTATTTCATTCCAGAATTATGATTGGCACACTTGCAAAAGACTTTTTTATTCATTGTTATTTAGTAGGAATTTAAATTCTCGATTCTGTAGGTAAATGGAAGGAAACACTGGCAGTTTGGAGGTGTGCACTCAACTTGATGGCTCGGGTCTGGATATGAGTTATTTCAAAGGGAGCAATTCTTTGGACAGCAGTCACCATTCTGCAGCGGTTTTGTTCTCTGTAGAATGAATGCATTGCAGAGCTTTGCCTGCCAAATGCTTTCCTTTAGCTTTTACATTACAGAAGCAGTTACAGCTCTGTCAAAGATGGCAGGGGGATAAATCATTTCAGAAGCACAGAACACGTGGCTGGTGGTAGCCTTTCCAGGCCTCTTTATCTCTAGAGAAAGAAGTTTTTACTCCGTCAGTTTTCAGGAGCACTCAACACATTTAATTCTTCTCAAACAGAAAGCGAACTTAACAATAAATAGAATAATATAAATGAAAAATGTCCAGAAACTGTCTTCCCCAAACAAGCACCTTAATTTCTATTTAAAGCTCTGAGGATTTTAAAGCGGGGTCGGATCAATCCGGACAATTCGTAGTTGCTTCCCTGAGGACTGTGGACCACAGCTGGATCTCACTGACTTACTTTAAATACTTCACCTTCCGTATCTAAATAGTATCAGAAGTCAACCCATGCTGACCTGAGGTGAAATTTCAGCAGGGGAAAAAGCATGACCTCAGCTAGTTGATTCCAAATGTTTTGGTATACACTGCCTATGGGTGAATGAATTAAAAGTTTGTCTGTTGGCATGAATAACTGAGTAGATTGCAGACACTTTAGATGTTATCTACTGTGCTGTGTGGGGGTCCACTGTAAGTGAAGAAGAAGGGTCAACACAAAAGGAGCTTCAGAATCTGCATGGCTCTGAAGTCCCAAGTGCACGGCCAACGGGTCTTTGGTTGTTACCTGCATAATGGATTCGATCAAATCAACTTAAGGCAGCATGGCAATCTAATGTATCCTGCAAGCATAGGAATTCTAGATTTTCTTGAGGAAAGGTTGTTTCATTCAAACTCTCCTTCTGAAAGCATCTTTTCCCCACCTGTGCATAAACATTCTCTTTCCTCTTTAAATTTGGCAACAAAGAATCAGTTGACTTTGTTCAATATTTTTCTTCTTTTCATGTGTATATGTGTGAGGTGTGTATGCATATTTTCATGTGTGTAGGTGTATGTAGGCCTGAGGCTAGTCCACGTACCTGTCTCTATTATTTTTCCACTGTATTCTTTGAGTCAGGGTCTCTCAGTGAAACCCAGAACTCACCTTATGGCCAGATTGCTCTGGGAATCCTCTGCCTCTACCTTCCAAGACTGAAATTATTGTAAGCAGGCAGGCTGCCCTGCCTGCCTGCCATTTATGTGGACTCTGGGAATCTGAACTCTGGTCCTCTTGCTTGGAGGCAAGTGCTATAACGGATGAGCCATCTCTCAAGCCTGTCATGCTCAATTTCTTGAATCAATTTTGGGGTAAGAAAGAATTTTAAGGCAAGCAAATGTAATTTTGCTCCTGCTGCCCGTTGCCTCCAAAAAAATGGCAGAAGATTAGAAAACTATACTTAGAAAGAAACAGATGAAGGGAAACGCTCAAAGGAGAAATAGTTGACTCCTCCCAAAGACCTGCTATATTCCAAGCCCTGTTAGCTCCTGGCGTATATTAAATCCCCCACGAATACTATATTATGTTATATAGCTACTTTTCAAATGAGGACATTTTGGGACTAAGCTAGCCATGGTCACACAACTGCTAAATGGTCGAGGAAGGATTTGAACTCAGGTGGGCAGTACGCTCACTTCCCTGATGCTGTGGGTGCACATGTGCTGTACACACCTGGTATCTCTTTCCGCTTTTTTTTTAAAAAGCTTTATTTTGTGTGTGTGTGAGTGTGTGTGTGTGTGTGTGTGTGCACAAGCAATGTAC